GGGGGAGAGAGCTGAAGTATGGCTCTGTTATACTCTATAAAAAAAGAGCAGCATAGCCTGGTTGGATTTGCCCTGGGAGCAAACTGTTCTGAAAAGTTCTGTGTGGATAGAGATGAAAAAGCAGAGGGGAAGGGAACAATGAAGCGAAGCCAGGGCAGCGGGAGGTGGAGCGATGGCGGTAGGAACTGCAGAGCAGCAAGCTTTCCCCTCCACAGGGGTGGAGCGGTGGTGGGGGGAAGGGAGGAGGTGAGGGGATCCTGGGTCAGGTGCTTCAAGGGTCGTTCCCTCCCTTATTGCTTGGCTGTGTTCTGCTTTCCCTTTCCAACACAGACTCTGGGTTAGAGTGTCCTGTGTGTAAAGAAGACTACACGGTCGGTGAAAATGTCCGACAGTTACCTTGCAATCACCTCTTCCACAACAGCTGTATAGTCCCTTGGCTGGAACAGGTTGGTGCCGTCGTGGGGGGGGACGTGGGGTTTGTAGCACTTGGGTGTTCTTTCTGGGGGTACCGTTCTCCTCGGTAAATATTTTAGCACCCCTGTGATGAGGCCTGAGCGCGAGCAGCCTTTGATCTGAGGAAGGAGCGTCATTCTAGCCTTTTCCTCGAGTGCTGCTCCTGTATCGTGTTTCTAATCCTGTTTCCCGTATTTCTTGTTTTGTTTTTGTCTGCTCTCCAAAGCATGACACGTGTCCCGTGTGCCGGAAAAGCTTAAGTGGACAAAACACTGCCACAAACCCCCCAGGACTCACGGGGATGAACTTCTCATCATCCTCCTCCTCCTCTTCCTCCAGCTCACCAAGTAATGAAAACTCATCGAACAACTCCTGAATCTTAATCCAACCCTCTATCCCTGGGGCCCTCTCCATTGTCCTCCCCCCTCCCCAGCCAAGGAAAGGGGCTTCCAGAGCAGGGTGAGGGGAGGGTAGTGAGGGGGGAGCAGTGCCCCCAGAATTCCCTCTTGAGTTCTGAAGACACAGAGACTCTGGGTCCTTCAGAGACGAGAAGCCTCAGGTTCTGTGATGGGGGGGAAAGAGCTCTGTATTAATAAAAACACCCGTTTGCCACGTGGACTTGTAACTATTGCAGTGAGAGGCCGCTGCGCCCCGCGGGTGGGGAACCCGAGGTGCTGGGCTAGTGGCTGTGGTTCCGAGCAGAAAGGTTGTTTGTATGGTTGTGAATTTGAGATTCCTTTCTTTATCTCTTTTGCTCCTCCTCCCCCCCTGGATGCTCTCTCTTCTGCTTTGGAGGTTGAAGCCTTTCAAACGGAAGCGTAGCGATGCTGCCTCCCTCCCTGACCTCCAGCTGGGGAGGGCCGATAGCGCTCACTGAAAAAATGAACTCAAGACAGACCCCGTGACCCTTCCCTGCCCGTCTCAAGTCCCCTTTATTTTTCTTTATAACCTCCCCCTTCTGATACTCAACACTGAAAGGGTTTTTATAATTTTAAATTATTACTGCTGTTAAATAAATGGACGTTTCAGCTCAACGAGACGTTATGCATGATTTTGAGGAAAAGGACAGGGTAAGCCCTCCGGAGGCTGCTGCGTGGAGCTGCCCTGCTTCACTGCGAGGCCCCCGGGCTTGTCCGAGCCCTCCTGTGTGCCGAGCCCAGGCGTGCTCTCAGCTCCGGGCACCAGACTCCATCGTGACCAGCACCCCTACGCGCCCTGCCAGCCTGCCGATCGCAGAGTGGTTGGCTGCAGGGCTGCAGCTGAAAGCATCCCGGCCTGGTCTTTTGTATTTTTTACACCTTCTCCCTGTTGCAGTCTGGCCCTTCTCAGCCTGAGCGGACTTTTCCACTGTGTCAACATCAGGACTGGGCGTGCATCAGAGGAAGGACCAGCCAAATATCATTGTGATTGAATAATATACAGGAAAAACAACATTTTGGAGAAAAATGTATTTCAAAACTACTTAAAATACAGCTGATTAAAAAAGGAGAGAGAGGGAGAGAGAGAGACAAATCTCCAGGTGTGTTGTGACTTGGTTTCTGTGACAGAGCTGGAGCTTAGAGAATGAGAAGAATGTGGCTGGAGCGGGCAGTGACCTGCTTGCCACCCGTGGCCATGCTCAGTTGGGCTGGGAGGCTCCAGAGGGACAAAAGCCCGGGTCCACCCAGTCCTCTCGCCCACGGCGCGGTGCGTTCCGCCCACCCCTCAGGACCTTGCTGTGGCAGATGCTGGAGCGGCCGAGGGGGGGCCTGCCCCTGCGGGGGCTGCTGGGTGGGATGGGTGGAGGTTCAACGCCTTGGGAGGCTCCTTGTGTCTTCCACAGCTTTTGGGGCCCTGTGAGCGGGCTGGGGAAGGCTCTGGAGACCCCATGTGCTTGAGGTCTGGGCACCGGTAAAGCTTTGGTGCCACTTCCAGAGCAGCCTTACCCAAGGACCTGGCCCTTCCTCCCAAGAGCTCTCCGGGCAGGGATGTGCCTCCCGTAGGAGGGGGAAGGCAGGTGGCTTGCTTGGCATTTCTTGAGCCTTTTGGAACAAGGAGGAGGTTCCTTGGAGAATATGTCCCAAGTGCGGATGGCAAGCAGCCTTCACCAAGCCTGCTGGGGCCGTGTGGCCGGCACTGAGCAACTCTTCTGGAATGTTTTTCCTCCTCGGCTTTGCCAGTGCAGCCGGGGCAGCCCAGCGGCGCCTTTCATCTCGGTGGGCGGATGCCTGCGGGACGAGGGTTTATCTCAGGACTGGTATATCAGGGTTAATAGCTCATCCTCTGCCAGGGGTTGAGCCAGGAGCTTCTGCTGCTGGGATCCTGGGCCTGGGAGGCGGGTGGCAGCAGGAAGGTCCCTGGCTGAGCCCGCCTGTGCCCATTGCTGGGCTTGCACAGAGGGAAGGCTTTGCTGTTCCGTCATCGAGAAACAACCCGGGAGACCTGGAAAAACCTCCTGCTGCGGTTCTGGCTGCAGCGTGGGGTTCCTGGCTCCCCCGGAGCCCAGGGGGTGATTCCTCACGTGTGAGCAGTGCTTGGGGCAGGTTTTGAGTGGGCGAAGCAAAGCCTGTGGTGGGTGCACGGCTGCTGCCCGCCTGCCTGGCAGGGGCTTCCGGCCAGG